ATATCCTACATATGCTATATATACTATATATACTATATATATAGGCTCGTCCCTGCTCCTGGAACCACATACGATGGGGTGGGGGGGTGGGGTGGGATGTTAACGTTCATGTGAACTTGCAGAAGCAGTTGATGCTACGCACACGCGGGGTGGGGGGGGATGGGGTGGGATGTTAACTTAACGTTCATGTGAACTTGCAGATGATGATGATGATGATGATGATGATGATGATGATGATGATGATGATGATGACCCTAATGAAACTTGTCAATTCCGCGACTAAATTTCGTCACGGAATTGACAAGTTTTACCAACCTAATTCAGGTTTGCGCGGTTCCAAGAGCAGGGACGAGGCTATATATACATATATATATATATCACTTGCAAATGAAATGTATGCTAGCCCGTTTATAAACATTCTAACTCGGATATCTACCTATCTCTGGGATATCTATCTATCTATCTATCGATCTATCTATCGATCTATCTATCTATCTGTCTATCCATCTGTCTATCCATCTATCTATCTATCTATCTATCTATCTATCTATCTATCTATCTATCTACATCTGTAAGTATCTCGAAGTCTCGATATGTATATATATATAGTATATAATACATATATACATATGTATACACACACATTCAATCATTATAAATCACTACAGTAGGATCACTTAACAAATATCGATCTATACATCATTCTATCAATGTCGATGTCATCTATAGTTATAAATCCTTTATATATACATCTCATCTATAGTTACAAAAATCTCCGTGCCATTATATAAGGATTGGATGAAATAAATATCTCTGGAGGTTTCCGTCATGGGGGATTTTCCAGGCCATCATCAGATTGGGATTTTCCAGGAAATCAACCAACCGGCGATAAAGGGGTACCCTCTGGTAAACGTTTACATAACTATGGAAAGATCCACCATTTTATAGCTGGATAAATCCACTACTTCGACTGGGCCATGTTCAATAGTTTTTTGTATGTTTACCGGAGGGTAATGGGGGTTTTGTTATGGTATATCCCCCCAAAATATGGCCTGAAATATGGTACAGTACCTCCATTTTAGGATCCTGGAATTCCCATTGATAGAGGGGTACCCCCACCTGTGCTCTTCGGTTCAGCAGCTGTCCGCAGCTCAAGCTGCTCTCAGTCAGCAGGTGCCCCTGCGAGTCACGCAGCCGCAGCCGGGGGATGCGACCTGGAAGAATGGCCAACGGCTCAACGGCTCAACGGGTCAACGGCTCGTTATAAGTGGGTTAGAATCCTGGTTATAAGTGATGGTTATAGTAGGGTTATCACATGGGATATTGGATTTTTTCAAGTACTTGATGGCTCATTCCACTTACTAGGCATTTTTTAACCATAGTTATAAATGGATTAAGCCTACTTATCCTACTTAGAGCTAGGGTTATAACCCATTTAGTCAGTGGGATGAGCCACCAACTACCCTTCAGTAAACTATCAGTGTGCGATGGACAATCACCAATTTTAAGTTCGATGAATCAACTCTAAATCTCCCATATGAAGCGCGCAAGGGGGGTAAAGTGGCTGGATTCTTAGAGCCAAAATGATCCATTTGTTACCCCTGTCTGGATCATCATTTACCTATCATGGCTTGGAGATGCTTAGAGCAACCCTATCTAAGCACTCAAAAAAACGTTTGATACGTGGAGGATGACCTCAGTGGTGACTGGGGTTGTAACTGTTGTAACCTTCTTATAAAATCTTACAAAAAAAACAGGACTTGGGGACTTGTGAATAGGATATACTGAGATTATCAACCACCAAGTGGGATGATGCTCCAAGTACAGTATGAGAATTTACTAACAAATATCGGACAAATATATGTAGTGATTCAATTGAAAAAAAACATGTGATTCATCCTTGTGACATTGGAAGTGGGGGCCCTTTGACATGGGGATTCCTTCAAACACACCTGATTTTCCATGGAAATGGGGGATGTGATGAACATCCAGCTTGATTTCAGCTTGATTCCTCGCTGTTGACCCATTTCCATTGGACGCAAGAGGAATCTCCCCATTCCAGCTTGTTTTTGCCCAGCAATTTGGGGATGTTTAAGGTGTACCTAGACACTCACTCAAAGTTAGCAGTTGGAAGTGGACCCATGGAAACCATTTGAGAATGAATTAACATCTGACTCCAAGTTAAGCAGTTGGATTGGGAACCATTTGAGAACCCACAGATTGAACCAATGTTAATTTTAACTCAAATGTTTTACAGTAAGGGAATGGGTTAGCCAAAATCACCGAAGACTCACCAAGTCGCTTGCCTTCGATTCTGTCTTGAATGGGACTTCAACAAACTTCGGGGATTTTTTGTTTCACCTTTTGTTTCACCGGGAATTTTTCTGGAAATTGGATGAACCTCCGGCCGTGAAAACTGACGCCATACCGTCAACCGGGTACCTCCCGGCCGAAGAACGGAGACAGCTCCAACTCCATCGACTTCAATACCCTGGCGGCCGCGATGGCAACCGGTAACGATCATCAAAATGACCAAGGAGATCCAAGGAGAAAAGATCATACACCGTATATTGATATATATATATATACATATACCAAATGTGTGTACTGTACATGTATAGTTTTGACAATGTTTATATATAATCTATTATAAATATCATATATATATATATTATAATACTGTATATACATATATATATATACATTATACCTCTGTATGGCCCTTTCAACCTACCATTCACCCAGCTAACCCAGCGGCAGCACCTCTTCCTCGCCCTTGAAAATGCGAAAGGTCGCATCTGCTTCAGCCGGCAGCACCTCCAGGGGGTTCCAAATCAAGGGGTTAGCCAACGGCAGCCAACAACAATATACATAGCCAACAAACATTGGATTTACCCTCCAGTGAACTAACATAGCTATGGCAGCTATGGATGAAAATGGACCATTTATTGATGATCAAACCAAACTAGGTCGATTCTTTCTGCCAAAGTCCATGTCTATCACTGTCTAACCATGTCTCGTGTTGCTTCAGGAGGATAGCCCAGTGAGAAATGGAACCTTCGCGAAATCAAAACGATCATCATCATAATAATAATAATCATCATCATGATCATCATCATCATCATCATCATTATCATCACCATCATCATCATCATGATCATTATCATCACCATCATCATCATCATCATGATCATCATCACCATCATCATCATCATCCTCATCTTCATCCTCATCCTTCTCCCTATCTTCCCCATCATCCTCATCATCATCAGCATCAACATCCTCATCATCATCATCAGCAGCATCATCATCATCATCAGCATCATCATCAGCATCAGCATCATCATCAACATCATCATCACCCTGCCAGCATCATGACCATCATCTATCATCTATCATCTATCATCTATCATCATCATCCTCATCATCATCCTGATCCTCATCCACACCTCCTCATCATCCTCATCCTCATCATCATCCTCCTCATCCTCCTCATCATCCTCATCATCTTCTTCATCATCATCATTATCATCACCATCACAATCATCATGATCATCATCATCACCATCTTCATCATCATCATCCTGTCATTTTCATGGTTATCATCTACCATCTATCATCTGTCATCATCAACAACATGATCATCATCCTCATCCTCATCATCCTCCTCCTCATCATCACCATCTTCATCATCATCATCGCAATCATCATCATCACCACCACCACCATCATCATCATCATCATCATCATCATCACCGTCACCATCATCACCATCCTCATCATCATTCTCATCATCACCATCGGTACCATCATCATCGCCATGATCATAATCAACATCATCATCATCATCATCATCATCATCATCATCATCATCATCATCATCATCATCATCATCATCATCATCATCATCACCATCACCATCACCATCATCATCACCATCACCATCACCATCACCATCACCATCATCATCATCATCATCGTCATCATCATCATCATCATTTTCATCCTCATCCTTATCCTCATCCCCATCCTCCTCATCATCCTCATCATTATCAGCATCATCATCATCATCGTCATCATCATCATCACCATCACCATCATCATCATCATCATCATCATCATTATCAACACCACATCCTCAACATCCTGCCAGCAAGAAGTTCAGAAACCACAACCATCAAAACGTTGTAGCCACCAGCAGCCGATCGCTGGCCTCTCTGGGCTCGTCCTCAACCTCCGTGGGCTGAAGCGATGAAGTCACTCGAACACGCAGAGCTTTGCCGCGTGTGGAGAGACCGATAGCACCTGCGGAAATCGATTGGGACCGAACAGAAAGTTGACAGGAAACCCATAGATTTTGACCTTCAAATATAGGATTTTCCTCTAGATGTTTCCCCGTAACATCTGTAACCAGTTCCAGGAGTGCGGAAATCCTCGCCCAATATGCTTTGGGATCTCATCATCCAGAGAGTTTTCCCTCCTGGTCAGGGGAATCTCAGTTGTGGTCTCCCCTTTTGTCGTCCCTGCGTGTCCAAAGCGGCCAGGGCGGCATTCAAAAAGGCCAACTGGGTATATCCCCCAGGAAATGGGTGGAAAAGCCATCCACATTCGTTGCCTTGAGGCAGCACTACCACATGCTCTGGCCGCGCAAGACTTTGCCAGGCCTCCACAGTTTTTGCGCCGGGCTTCAGATCGGACTGCATCGTCCGTGGGTCATGTGAGTCATGTACAATTCACTTCAGGATGTCGTAGGTCGTGCCATTAGGCCTGATTCATATTCGCAAGAGATTGAACGCCATGTCTCAGAGCATGATGCGTGACCTTGTTAGTAATAAACACTCAACATACCACTAGGTGACATGGTGACCAGGCGACCTTATGTCTGGCTTTCGGGGAGCCCAGCTGGCGAAGCTATCACAAAAAGGTGCATTGTTCGCGCGCCTCAAAGAGTAGCAGCCAGTATATCCTCATCGGCAAAATCCCGCAGCAAGCGCTAAGCTTTAAAAATTGTTGGAAGAGTTGGTTCTGAAGCACACCACTGAGGATACCCCAACCTCTGTTTCTGGCGTGCGCTTTAAAAATCTCTGTAAATTCCAACTTTGTCTGCATCTGCAAGGGGGGTTAGCTCAAGTTTTTTTTGGGACTACGTACCAATGTTGGTTGCATAGCACTGCAGGCAGATGTCTGTGTTGTTGGATGCTTTTTGTCGGGCCGCAAAGGTTTCAGCCCGAAGTATGTATGGAGGTTCAGTAAGCCGATGGCTGCGGGACAAGAATGAGCATGGTTGTCATGCCATGGGTTGGAGCAGTTCTATTTGCCCAGAAAAACTAAGACAGGTGTAGGTGTTTTTTGTTGGACGAACATGTGCCTCATCAGGTTGCTGTTCCTCTCATTGAGTTGCTACGAACGAAGAAGACACAGCGGAGCCGAATTGCAACCATTTTGGAGGATAAAAATTGTGCGGAATCAAATGTCCATCACGTTTATTCCCCATGTGACTTTGACTTTGACTTAGGCCAAAAAAAACTAAAGACATTCCTAAAAGCAAAAAAAAACATGGCTTTTAATTGGCTTACCCTCTGGTAATTTAACATAGCTATGGAAAATCACCATTTATAGTGGATTTTCCCATTAAAAATGGTGATTTTCCATAGCTACCTTAGTGTACCAGAGGGTAACAGGCTTAACACCTCATGTTCCTATTGAAACATATTGGACTGGCCAGTCCAGCAAAATCCAGGGCCATGACCTGCCCATTCGCGGAGTTCGAGCCGAGGCCTCAAGGAAAATGCCCACGGCCAGAGGATTTTCGGACTTTGGAGGTGTCCGTTTTGTCATGGGGGGTACCCCCAGATCATCCATGTTTTTGGATTTTCCCATATAATGTGTATATATATATATATGTATACATTTATATATGTAACATATTTATGTATATATATATATATATGTGTGTATATATATAATTATATATATAATATATAATGATATACAGAATATATAATGATATATATATATATATCCAGCCAGTGGGGTACCCCCATTTTTCGAACCCCCCCCCATTTTTGGAAACCCCATGTTCAGACAGAGCCAGGTTGGGGACCTTGGAACTGTCTGACTCTTGAGACTCGCAGTGCAACTGCAGCGTGCTCAAATACCGCCCACTGAGAAATGATGTCTTACAATTTCAACCTTACTGGTGCTTAGCAGGGAATGGATGGGACTGGGGGTTGCTGGGATTATTATTGATAGTTATTGTGGATCATTCCCGAAAATTCCCTACTAAGCACCAGTAAGCAACGTATCTTCGCTATATTTCAAATATGATTTGGATGTTTGAAACCCGTTCATGATGTTCTGCATTTCTTCGCTAAGAAAAAGCCAGGCAATGTCGTTTCCTGCAAGTCCCAAGGGCCAAGGCCACTAGCAACACTAGTAAAATCATGTACCATCTGGTTATTTAACATAGCCATGGAAAATCACCATGCTATTAAGTTCGGTAAACCATCTATTTCTATGGGTCATCTATACCATGGCTATGTTAGTCATAACCAGAGGGTATATCCCAGTACATCCCATTAGATCCCATTAAGTCACCATTAAAAGCCATTAAATCACCATTAAAACCCATTAAAACCCATTAAAACCCATCAATATCATCAATCCCGTTTTCAGGTCTTATCAGTTCCATCATGAAATTTTCGGGGCTCGGTGGAACCACCCCTCCGGCGTTGGTCAAAATGGTGCCATTTTCCGGCGCTGCTTTCCGCGGCGCGTGCTCGAAAAGGCGCCCTTTAATCATCCTGTGGGGATTGGTACCCGGTAGATTTCACCGGGGTTGCCTGGGTGATATCGGTGATATCCTGCTTAGAAAACACAAAAAAAAAACTCCTCTTTGATGAAGCAACAGCAATGCGTTCAAAAAGATCACACATGTAATGTGGATACTATCAATGAAAATAACACTAAAGATTGCAGTGACCTAAAAAACAAAAAGATCTGTACGTTCCGTTGAAGCTTTGGGGCAACTCTCCAACTCTCCGTTTGTGGTTTTACTCAGACTTTGGACATCGTCAGTATCATAGGTATCAACCTATCCCCATTCCCATATTGTGTAAATCTGTGTTCTATACGAACCGGATCTGTGGCTGTCTTCTTTTTGGACATGTATCACGACACGATATGCCAAGATCATAAGGTCAACTTGACCAATTCCACTGCAGCAATTCTGCTTGGCATTGCGCTTGCAATTTTGCTCCAGCCATGCAAGGATTTGCCAGAGGAATCAACGAATTCAGGGCTAACCATGGGAGGGATATGGGGCTCGGGTTCCAAAAGTTCACCTTCCCACTATTTCCCACTGGATGGGTCAAAACCTATATTATTACCATATTATTACCATATTTGGGGGGATAAACATTCACCAGCTATACTTAAACGGATACCATAAACGGGTACCATTTTGACCTCCATGTCACATGGAGGACCTCCCTCTCCTCGCCTCACAAGGGAAGGCCCAGGTCTTTCAAGGCCTCCCGAAATGGGCATCGTTGGGTCACACGAATGGGAATCCACGGGAATTCGACCTTTAAAAATCTTTTTGGGGGTGACTACTTCCATATATATATATATAACATATGTATGTATATATATATATATACACAGTATATCAAAAAATTGAAGTACTAACCTATCCATGCAGCGGTTTCCGCAGTTTCTTCTTTCATCCCCAAACATATCCCTAAACTACATGTTATGTCTCTATAAAATCCCAATTTAGCAATGTTCAACACCCTCAGTCATTCCATTCCACTGGTGGATTAAGAACAGGTTTCTCAGTTCAAGGAATATTATCATCTCCAATACGTTGGGAAGTATAACCCCCGAACTAATCATCGGGAAACAGTGGTTTTGAACACACTTCTCATCTCAACATCTCAGACACACCGAAGTATCATTTTGTTGGATATCCCATGATATCCTCATCATTATAGCCAATTGAATGTATATATGCAGCATAATATATATATATATATACATACATATTAATTATATATATATACTGTATACTCTATATATATATACAGTATATACACAGTATATATAAATATGATATATATATATATTATACACAGTATATATAAATATTATATATATATATTATATATCGTAGATCATGGTGTGACAAGAATTATATATATATCCCATGATATCTCAACATGTCCCGCCTTGGCCAAGTCGCCTTGGGCCGCCTTGCGCGCGTCGTAGAGCAGGCCCTGGAAGCCCAAGGACTGCGCGGCCGCCACGTTCTCGGCCTCGACTTATGGGCTGTTCATGGCAAAATCCATGGGAAAATCCACGAAAAATGAAGGTTTTGATGGCGAAATCCATGGAAAAAACATATGGTCAATAGATGTTAACAGTGGTTAATAGTGAATAATGGTTAATAGTTGGGTATATCCTCTGGTAATCAAACAGGGCTTCGATTGGATGATTCTGAATGACTGATCGAGTAAATGGATAATTGAGCTACGATTGATAAGTTCAACTGATGACTGAAGGAGAACATCAAAAATGGCTGGGAAATTTCCTTTAGCTGGAGATTTCTAGCTGGGAAAAACATATTTCAAATGGTGATTTTCCATTGCCCCGTTACCAGAGGGTAGCATCATCCAAAATAGGGATAAAACCAACAATTAGGAGGTTACCATTCAAAGTGGTCATTTTACGAGCAAAAGGGTCTCAAGTTTGGGCGACCAAATGCAGATACCAAACCAAATGGGGACTTAATCAACAGTTGATTTGAGAAAAATGTGGGTGTTAGGTCCTCAAAACGAAACAACCAACTGACATGAGGATTCCATTGATGTGCGAGGAATCTTGGATGTTCAAAAACTCTGGATTCTCCCAACAACTAAGGATTTGAAACGGAGTGAGGCTCACTGAGGGACTGTTTCAACCGAGATTTTTCCTCCGGGCAGCTACCGTGACCCTCAATTGATCCTTCAAAGTACACTAATTAAATTGTTTGAAAGGTCCAAATGTAGGGGTGAAAAGTCCATGTTATCCATCTCGACTGGTGGGATGGCATGTTCAACATCATCCCATACGCTGCCACTGGCAAGTTCATGAACCACAAACTGGGGCTGGTTTATGATTATGGATCCGCCGTTGCCATTCTACTACATCCAGATTATATATATATATAATACATATATATATATATTTGCAGGTGTATATATATATACATATATATATATACACAGTGTATATATATATATATATACTGTATGTATCCCAATTATATGACTATGTGTCTCTATGTGTCAAAACCATGGAACCCCGTCTGTTTAAAATAGCTTTTATTTATGAATGTTCAGCTCATAGGTTTTGACCCATCCCCATGTTCCATATCGGTAGGATTGGCTAAAAACTACTGTTCTTTGGTCAATATTATGCCAATCTTTATATCTCCACATCCCATTTACCCTCCGGTGTACAAGTCGATGATGTTCTCATTAAAATCCGCTAGAAACCTCGTTTTACTTCGGGAAATTCGCGTTTTCCCACGTTTTCCTCATGATTTTCTTATGATTTTCCCATTAACACCTCCATTTATCGTGGATTCCCCATGTCTTTCCCACAAAAACCTGGAATTTCCCAGCTATCTCCTCAACGGCGCACCTTGTCATCCACAAAGACGCAGTCCGCAGCGGTGAGTCCTAGAGCTATTGAGATATACAGCTGGCAGCAGTTTCACCAACAAGTGGCTATTTATATATACGTATATATATATATATATGATAAATATGTATACATAATGTCAACTCCGGATTAATAAACCATGGTTTATTAATTGTGGTGGTACCCTCCAAATAGTCACAATATGATTCATAAATGGTACTCCCCCCAATTAAACAGCCGTTTGGGGTTTATTAATCATAAGTTGACATTACTGGAGTTCTACAGCAGGGGGTATATCCCAGCTTTTGGGGGTAATATGGGTAATTGCATGCTATTACCATGGTAGCAAGCACGGCCCAAGTTGGGAATCATCCTCCCGTTGAACTGCGGCTTATCTCATGAAATCCGCCATGAATGGATATATTAAATGATATTTCTACAGTGTTACAGTGAGGTGAACAAAAACCAACATACATATCTATCTATCTATCTATCCATCTAATCTAATCTAATCTAAGCTAAGCTAAGCTAATCTAATCTAATCTATCTATCTCTATATATATATATATACATATAACTAATTATAGGGTGACCCTTCCTGTAGGACACTGATCCCCCTTACCTTGATCCTGCTGATGTTGAAAAGTTATGAGAAATGCCCAGATGGTGAACTCAATTAAGGGTTCCTAAAATGGGGTTACTCCCAAATCATCCATTCAATTTTTGGATTTTCCATGAAATAAACCATCCAGGGAGCTTGGGGTGCCCCATTTGTGGAAACCCCCAATTGTAGAAAAACACAAATGACTGGAGCCAGCAAGACGTGATGATTTTGCACACCAGCATACACCAGCCGCGGGACTTTTTTCTCTTGAGGATGGGGCACCAACCAAGATGGAAAGTCCAGCACTCATCATCCATTTAACCATCATCCATTTAACCATGGTAACTAGATGGTTAAATGGATGTTAAAAATGGATGATCAAATACCCAATTTTGTTCATCATCCATTTAACCATCTAGTTACCCATCCGCTTAACCATCCACTTACCCCGCGATTTATTGCAAGCACTCGTTTAACCATCCACGTAACCATTCATGGAAAATCATCATACAGTAGTTATCCTGGAGATTTCTGCAGGAGATTTGGTTTGAAAGTTTTGAAATAAAATAAACAAGAATGGGACGAGGTTCCAAAATTGCATATATTCTACCTCCAAACCAGGCCTTTCCAAACTTCCAAAGTCAACATGTTTCCGTCTCCTGGATGCAGTTTCCCCAGCCGTTCCAAGAACAGCTGAAAGATTTCAGGGCCGGGTTTGGAGCAGGCGACCTGCCACGGTTTTACAGCTGAAAAGAAAATCCAGGAACATCCAGGAACAGGATTTGGGGTGTTTTTTTAAAATCATGAATCAATGGAATATTCCTGGATTTGGAATGTGTTTTATCATGAATCGATGACTTCGGATTTGGGAAAAGGCAAAAAATCCGTGTCTTTGCTTTTGCGATTTGTTTTCGCGAATGCACATGTACCGGAAGTTCGGTGAAATATGTTCGATGGCTTCAGAGCTGACGAGCAGCAGTTCTTGATCAATCAAGCCTTCCAAGGCTGTGCCACATTCCTGGATGTGCGAAGCAGGTAGCAGGAAAGTTTTAGTCTGTGTATCATACTTTTTTCTGGCAGAAACAACAGACCATTACTGAAAACATTTGTTTTTGTTTTGGCGATTTCTATTTGATTGCGATTTGTGGAATTTGTGTGATAAACATTACTAACATTACTGTTATTTATTGACGTCCCGCTATGCTTCGCTGTGGTCCAGAAGTTCTGGAGGAGTTGTCAAGACCATTGCACCCATGTGGGGGGATTATTTGATGGGGCTGGCGATCCTATATCGATAGTAATGGTCATGAGGGGGCGCTGACCATATGTATAAAAATATTATATATATATATGTACATAATTCTCATCAAATCTTGAGCTGGAATTATCTGGACAACACACATTTGTTTTGCTTGCGGGGGTAATCCGCCGCGGCGCCTAGGATCACCCGTAGGTGTGCGGCATGGGCTGTGGCTTCACCTCTGCCTGCTTTGGCATCCAAGTATGCTGCTTCTAGGTCCTGCAGACTGTTTCTAGTGGGTTTCCTTTAAAAGCCTCAAAAAGCTCAAAACCTTCGCGGCAGCTTTCGAAGGCTCCTCTATACGGCACCATGGTGCCTCCCTAGGCCCCACAAGCTGTTTCTATTGGTTTCGAAACTGCTATACGTGGCACGTTTTAAGCACCCTTTAAAAGCTTCAAAAGCTCAAAACCCTCCGCAGGCACGCCCTCTGCAGCTTTCGAAGGCAACCCCGGCGAAGTACGCCAAAACACTGCAAACTCCTACATGGCACGTTTTACGTGGCTCCTCTATATGGCACCATAGTCGTCCCTCCTTAGGCCCCGCAAACTGTTTCTATTGGCTTTTGAAACTGCTACGTGGCACGTTAGGCACCCCTTAAAAGCCTCAAAAGCTCAAAATCTTCGCAGTTTTTGAGGCTACCTTTTGCTACCTTTGCTTCTACCGTTCTCTGCAGCTACCTTTGCTTCTACACGGCCCCACTTACCCAACTTCCTAAGAGTGTCGGAACAGCCGTTTGTTACCTTTGGTTCCGAAGCACCCTGCCTGCCCGACCTTGCAGAGTCTTGCGCTGCAACTTGCCACCATGGTTCTACAGGCCGCGCCTGCCCACACTACCTCAAGCCTTCGAAGAGTCTCCTGTTGTTTCCCACTTTGGTTCTACACCGCCCTACCTGCCAAGCCTTGTCAAGCATCTTTTCAGGGGGTCGGCGGCACCAGGGCGTCAGCCCACTTATAAATTAATTCGCTTGAGTTTGATGGCCTCGCTGTTCCCAACAAACAGAAAGCGCTATGCTGCGACTCCTTGTGAAACCAAAACGAAAGATGATTGGAAATCATCCCCAGCACCACTTGCTGCTCTTTGGCTGCTCGAAGCACTTCCAAACTTTCGGGATAGTAGCCTGGCATCCCAGTGCGTCCTTTGGATCGATGGGAAATCTGGGGGATGCCCAGGGGCCCAGTCTATTTCAGCAAGCCCCTCTTGCACCAGAAGATGGAAGGCCATGTTTGATGGACTAAAACTAAAACCAATCTCAACCAGCATTTTAATGGGCTTGCTCAGTAGAGGTCGCGATAAATTGTCCAGAAGTATTCGGCTGTTGCCTTCGGCTGTTGCCCCAAACACCACCTGTAGTGATCACCAAGTGCGTGTCAATGGTGGGTTTCTTGTGCTTTCCCTGGAATTTGAAATAGATTTGCTTTTCCGACATCTTCTGACGAAGCCCAACGCAAAGAAAGCTTCGGGGCTATTGTGACACCCAACCTGTGGCGTGGAACATATGCTGCAGCTGCCGTGGATCTACAGAGCATTTTTCCCTCGGCAAAGAGCTAGCTCTACTTCTTATCCACTGTGCACGTCAGCCGGTTGGCCTGCGGCCCTTTTGACCGAAACCCGAAACGTCGCTACGTGTCGACACCCAAATCCTCCTGAAGAGAGGATGCCTTCTTTGATTAGGTCGCGGATTCAAATATTTTTCGCGACCCAACTCTGACGGTCACAAAACTGTAGTTGGATAGTTTTGAAACGTGCCTCCACCCCAAGAATCTGACCTTTGACTTGCTCCACATGGGGTCATGGGCAAGCTTTCAGAACCACCCTACCTGTAACATCCTGTAACATGCAGAAGCGCCATATGTTGCCTACATCAAAAGTTCCCAATAGAGCCAGGGTCTGCCTGCCATTTCTTTTTGCTCCAGCGTGTGTGGATTGCACTTGGCGGGGCCATTTTCCTGGCTTCAAAAAATTCAGTTGGAAGGCTGAGAGCCGGCGATGGTGCGGGACACCTGAGCTGGAAACCAACACTTTTGGATTGTCCACCGCTCCAAAGCTCAGACGATCCTCTGGTTTTGTGGTTTCGCCACGACTTGGGAGGGGATTTCGGCTCTGGAAGAGATACCACTTCTATACAACTCATGGCGAACTGGCTCGGGTCTGCCACACCGACTGAATTAGGCTGGATGTGTCTGGATTTTGGTGGCAAATGACATGGATTTTTATTTGAGAACTCTCTGTCTCCTATGAGGAGACCATCAACTGGTGAGTCCCCCATTTTTTGGGGACACAGCCACGGATACCCCACCCCTGACACGGCGGCAGCATCTCATTTGACGTGTAAGGCAGATGGAGATGGCTTCAATCTGAGCTCAGCATAGACGGGATGATGATCACTACCAGCAGCTGATCCAGTGCCTTGGGAAACCAGCTCCCAGTCGTTCGAATAGAAGATGCCTCGCGGAGATTGGGCCGAAGGCGGCGTGGCATTTTTTGGTTGAAGATCTTTGGATCCAAAGTGTAGCATCTAGATGACATATATCTGGGTAAATGAAATCATATTTCACTAACCTGAATCTTGCAGCTATAAAAGGGGATGATTTCCCATATATAAAAAATATGATTTCACCAGATATATGAAGGTTCCCTAATATAGAAACCAGAAGGGCCCTGTCGGATTTCACTCGAAACCACGAGAGATGTGGATCCATCCAGCGACTGGCCTCAAAGTAAAGCTGCCAACATCTGATCTGTGGCCCAAGTGGTATACTACTAAGTTTATACCCTACAAAACTAGCAGCATTAATGCAGCATTGGGATTACAGTACAACCCCATTGACAAAGCAGCTGTGGTTCGCCCCTGTTGGGATAACAAGGGCAGCTTCAAGGGCACGATGATCCTTGAACTTCGGATTGGTCGTTAGCAAATGGCTTACAACCCCTATTTAAAAAGAAAAACACTCATCTGCGGCGGCTTCCTAAAATGCCAAACCCAAGTTCTTATCCTCTCTAATTCGTCAATCTTAACTTTGAAACCAACACCAACTGTCCGAAACGTATCTTGTTTTTCTTCATGCCGTGAAATCGGTCATCAAATCGTTTACATCCCCGTGCATCAACTCCAGGTCCCAAAATCCCACGGTCCAAAACCCCTCGACACCGCCTTTCGGGGATCCAAGGGGCTGTCGACCCACTCATTCACTGCCAGCTTAAAGCCGCTCTGCAGGAAATGTTGGGGACCTCTCTCGTCCATCTCAGCATTGAAGTCGCCGGTGACAATCACCGGCTCCGAGCCCACCAACTCGTGGATGGCCTCGCCATGACCCAACTAGGATCCCAACAGGTGGCTCCAGCGTTGTAAGGTACCAGTCAAATATGTGGGGCTCAACATACATATTTACATATCATATATATATATATGTACACATACACACATACACACATACACATACACACATACACACATATGCATGCATGCATGCATGCATGCATGCATGCATGCATGCATGCATATACGTATGTGTATATATATATATATATTATATTATATTATGTATTTTACCAGGTCAACCGACAATGGGGATAAATACAACAAATCCGCTAAGCTCTCAGCTCTTTTTGAACCAACGCTACAGAGTAGATCGATGACATATATTACACATGGTTTTACTGCAGGAGTTTTTACACCCCCCTCGGGCGAGCAGGGACGACTGCGGAGAACGAATAACCCAGAAAAGCATACCCTCGCGGGTAGCCAAATTTCTTTATTTGGTTTTGATCATTTTATGCAGTCATTCAAAGGTCCCTCTAAAAAGCTCAAGCCCGTAAAACCCAGCGCAGCGTTGCAAGGAAGGCACATTACCATGCCACATCTTGCGCTATGCTACAAAAGAAAATCATCGTCTACCTGCGGTTCCAATAGATCCAACGGCCGCCGGCCTCGTCACGGTAATACCAAGCCCCACGCCAGAAACTCCATTCTCGGCGTGCACCATAGTGATCACGATTCCAACTCCAAGAGGCATCCGGGCGACCGGAGCTTGCAGCCTTCGATGTGACTCCTGCGCTTGCTGCTTTTGCAGTGGGCGGCGTCTCAGGCTCCAAGAATGGTCGTGCTCCTGCTTTGGATGTTGGTGGTTCAGGTGCAAGAAATGGTGCATTGTTGGGGTCAACTGGGGCATCAGCGTGCGAGGCGTCTGCGCGAGCAGAGCTTGAGGCGGCTGTGTCATCTGGTGTGGTGGCGGATGCATCAGCTTCGGCTTTGCGCTTTTGCTCAGTGGTGGGCGCGACCGTGGGGTCGGCCTTATGACCTCCAGGACCTCCAGCCTTTGCAGCGGCGCTCTGCTTCTCTTTGCGTTCAAGGTTGCCCCGAACCAATGGAAGGTTTTCCTCATACACCTTTTCGAGGAAATCAAGAGTGCCATCAAAAGGAACTTGGACAGTGCCCTTCCAGGTCAACAGGCCACGGAATGCGCCACGACGGCCGATGTAGCTGACATATTCATCCTCTGTAAAAATGTGGCGGCCGAACATGAAACCCCAGACCTTCTTCCATGTTTTGCGGAACTCAACTGGGAAACCATCAACACCACGAGGCTGAGACATGAAAATCAACTTAGATAAGCAGTTCTCATTTTGGGCATTGGCGGCGACGCCAGCCGAGATCTGAGCTTTGGTCCTTGGGGGATCGGGGAGGTTGCCGTATGCGAACATGTCATCAAAGATGCAGTCCTGCAGGTCCTTCCCCTCACCGTGGATGCGGTCGCAAAAAGTGACGTCGCTGGAGTATCTGTCTTCCACGTCCTCGTAGCCCAGCGCTTTTGCACGTCGATGCCTGTCGCGGCAGTCTTTGAGGACTGCTGATTCCACGGATGTGATTCCCCTGGGGCCCAGTTCCCGGCGAAGCAGATTGGCTTGCTCTTCCGTCAAGGCTGTCAGCAAGCTTCCGCTCATCTTCCCAAACATTCCGAACCCGGCGAGACTTTGCATTCGCCGTTCAAGGATGCGGGTCCTCCTGTTGGGTTTGTCGGCCTCTTTTGTATCGCCACTTTCGTCCACTGGGAGTGGCTCATATCCACATGTGGTGCATGTCACTTGGCCACTGACGTACTCAACCTGGCAGAGGGGACAGGAGCCCATGAAAGGTTCGACGTACTTGGGTGCAATGTAAACACGGCGCGTCCTTGCGGGCGGCTGGTCAACTTGCATTGGGGCAGTGGCTGCATCATCATCAGTGGACTTGGCATCGGGTCGCCCCGTGCTGGTGTCATCCATTGGGTCGTCAGTTGCATCATCTCGGGCAGTCAGGGTGACCGCTTTGGATTTCGGTGCTGAGGCTGATGCCGCGCCAGTCCATGAGCTGGGCTCGAGATTGCTCTCGGCGCGGGTCCAAAGCACCTGTCCATCTTCTGAGATGCTGACCAGAAACTGCGGTGGGATGCGTTCTGAGCACAAAATCCCATCCATTTCTGTGCGACTAAAGATGACACCACCCAGAAGATGAGGTTAGGTTAAAAAGGTGCTTTTAGGTTATAGACTATTTTCTGCCTAATAGGTAAAACGAAACTAACTATTAGTCAGAACCCTTTAGGTTATCCAATCAAATAACCTAACCTATTTTTAAGGTTATTCATACAATTTACCTTTTTTTCTTGAGGTTATTCATACAAGTTACCTTTTGTTTTCAAAGGTTATTCATACAACTTACCTTTTTTCCCAAGCTTATTTATATCATTGACCTTCTGTCTTCACTGGATACTCTCCAATATCTCTCACAAATATCACGCACATATTTCTCAACTCTTTGGTCTGAATTTTTGGCCCTTCCACTTTCGTAGGTATCGAAACTGTACATCACTTTCCCTCCTTGGTTGACCCCTGTGATGTCACCACTGGCCAGCGCCTGGTTGAAGGCATCAGCATCGCCATGGAAGTAGTGATGGAGCATGATTGCACGTGGAAAACTGGTCTGGGCATCTTTGCCAAAGCTCTTGTCAGAGGTCTCTTCAGCCAGCTTCTGAAACTGGGATTGTCTGCCTGCATTTCCCAGCAGCCTGTCTTGGAGTTCTTCTTGTAACAAGCAGTCGCCCGACATAGTTTTTTCTTCCGTGGTTTCAGATTTTTCCCAGATCTCCTTGATCTGTGCTGGAACTTTTCCTGCTTTGAGCAGCCTGTTGAACTTGCCACCAGAACCTTTGGAACGCTTTTCATTGTGACCATCAGGATCCACACATTCATCCTGTTCCCTCACTTCTTCTTCTTCTTTTTCTTCTTCTCACTCAACCTTCTAAACCTCTTCTTTCGCTTCTGGCACCCCAGACTGGAGCTTGGAGACTTGGTCTCTGGTACCACCTTTGGCAGCAGGCCTTTTGAAAGGTGCAGGGGTGTCTTCCTTTTTGTTCCTCTTTTCTTTCTTCTCCTTTTGTTTCTTCTCCTTTTTGTCCTTGGCACTTCCTTTGGCTTTGGCCTTTGGCTTCGGTTTTTTCCCTTTGAAAATCTTTGGTGGTGTCTTTGGCACCTTGGGTTTGCTTCCTGCCTTTGCTTTGGAAGCTGGTTTTTCAAGCGGTTGCTGCTCTTCCTCCTCTTGCTCCTCTTCCTTATCCTCATTCTCTTCATTTTCCTTCTCTCCCTTATTCTCATTCTCTTCATCTTCCTTCTTTTCGGGTTCCATTGCCACCTCAGAAGCCTGGCTGTAGCAAGGGCTCCCAGGTAAATACCTGGCAGTAGTTTTCACTGGGCTGTTGCGCATGGAGCGACAAAAAGTGTGTAATTGGATACCTGGTATGCACTATTTATACATGTTAATTTGTTGGAGTGTTACTTGAAGGTTATTAGAGAGATATTTTTACATTGTGGATAACTTCTTGAAGTGGTACTTGAAAATTATTAGAGATATATTTCTACAGTGTTCATGTTGCCAGCAAAACCTTGGAAGTGATGGTGCTTGAGAGCAGCGCACACTGTGTCTGTGTGTGCATCATTGTGCATCTAGTCTCTACTATTTGCTGCTAATGACAAACATTTTAGATTTCAACCATGTTAGCATTGCTGCTGTTGGCTTTGGGCCTGGAAAGAATGCAACAGAAAAATGCCATGCAAGCACCTACAGGACTTCTGTTTTTGGTGATGGTTTTGATGACAACGATCCTTTTGATTTGGAGAAACAAGAATTTTTTGCAAAAGTCCCAGCCAAAAAATGATTTGTTTAGGAACTTTTGCAAAACAGTGCCAAGGTGCCTTAGCGGTTTTCTTAGAAGTTTCTAAGCAAAGTGCTAAGGGGCCTCAGCAGTTTGCTTAGAAGTTTCTAAGCAAACTGCTAAGCTGCCTTAGAAGTTTCTAAGCAAAGTGCTAAGGGGCCTTAGAAGTTTCGAAGCAAACTGCTAAGGCCACCTTGGAAGTTTCTAAGCAAACTGCTAAGCTGCCTTAGGAGTTTCTAAGCAAACTACCAAGCTGCCTTAGCAGTTTGCTTAGAAACTTCTAAGGCCCTTAGCAGTTTGCTTAGAAACTTCTAAGGTGGCCTTAGCAGTTTGCTTAGAAACTTCTAAGGTGGCCTTAGCAGTTTGCTTAGAAACTTCTAAGGCCCCTTAGCACTTTGCTTTGAAACTTCTAAGGCAGCTTAGCAGTTTGCTTAGAAACTTCTAAGCAAACTGCTAAGGCTCCTTAGCACTTTGCTTAGAAACTTCTACGCAAACTGCTAAGGCACCTTGGCACTGTGTTGCAACAGTTCCTTAAAAAATCATTTTTTGGCTGGAACTTTTGCAAAAAATTCTCTTTTCTCCAAATGAAAAGGATCGTTGTCATCAAAACCATCACCAAAAACAGAAGTCCTGTAGGTGCTTGCATGGCGATTTTCTGTTTCATTCTTTCCAGGCCCAAAGCCAACAGCAGCAATGCTAACATGGTTGAAATCTAAAATGTTTGTCATTAGCAGCAAATAGTAGAGACTAGATGCACACACATTGTGTGCTGCTCTCAAGCACCATCACTTCCAAGGTTTTGTTGGCAACATGAACACTGTAGAAATATATCTCTAATAATTTTCAAATACCACTTCAAGAAGTTATCCACAATGTAAAAATATCTCTCTAATAACCTTCAAGTAACACTCCAACAAATTAACATGTATAAATAGTGCATACCAGGTATCCAATTACACACTTTTTGTCGCTCCATGCACAACAGCCCAGTGAAAACTACTGCCAGGTATTTACCTGGGAGCCCTTGCTACAGCCAGGCTTCTGAGGTGGCCATGGAACCCGAAAAGAAGGAAGATGAAGAGAATGAGAATAAGGGAGAGAAGGAAAATGAAGAGAA